AAATAATTACAAATTTAGATACTAAATTTGGGGGCGGCAATGTAGGAAAGTATTTTCCTTTAGTTTCACTTTAATATTTTACCAATAGAGGGCGCATATCTTTTCATCTTACTGATACCTATACACCTTCCCTTTAAGACACTGCGTTTTATACACCACACGCGCTGGGTTAGAGTGAGCATCCGAACTTTGAAGTTGTGTGCGTTCATGCAGAAAAGTACGTTTATTTTGCAGGTCAATAATGTTGATGTTATTGTGATGATGTTGTTAATCTTGTAAGCGCATATTTGCACAGTATTATGTTATTTGTTTATCTACGTTAGGAAGCTAACATGCTAGTTTCACGTGCAATAGTGCATTGTTATTTAATATAACTCTTGATCTGTTTGCCATTTTAAGATAGTTTGAGATGCTACACTAGCATAATTGTGAATTTGTAAGAGGATTTCAGACCATTGATGATTATTTATCTGTTTATGTTTAGAATGTAAATGTCTAACATCTGTACGAAGTTAATAGAAAGGCTGTAATATTTTATATCTAATTTACACAATTTTCCTCTATTTCAGACCACACACACACACATACCCATCCCAAATACTTTTGCCTGTATACCTTTATGCTCACTAAAGTGGTCTGTATAAACCCAACTCATTAAAGCTTTCTTGGATGTGACTCTCTGAGCCCTTTACTCTCTTACCGGAGTCGCCAGTTTTCAAAGGTCTATCAGAACAATCCAGAGGTTTCCACCTCTACAAATGGTCCTTCGAGCCGGATGGTAGTAACCTTGAAGACAACATGCAGTCAGAGAATGAGATCACTGAGCCAGTTGTGCGGCCTCATACTCAGCGGGAGAGACATCCACCAGCCTACTTAAGTGATTATGACGTTGGGTATGAACCAAGCCACCTTCCAGCTTCCAGGGCAGATGTCAGCAGTATGATGTCAGTGGCTACCATTCCAGCTGCACAACTAGACGAACTGCCTGTGCCTTGCAGAATACCTTCAGCACATTCGTCTGTAAGTTCACGTCACAGCCAATCCAGAACAAAGACCTGCAGAAGTGGTGGATCCAGCCGGACAATAGCTTTACGCCTGACAGAGATACAGGCAGCTATTGTAGAGGAGAAACTGAAGAGCATGGAGCTTGCAGAGATGCAGAGACAGATGGTGGAGGAGAGCAAAGCTGAAGAGCAGTGTGAGTTCCTGGATCAACAAGCACGCCTTGCGCTATATGAGAGGGAAGATTTACTCAGAGAACAGCAGAGGAGAAGCCGTCAGCTAGATGAAGAGGCTCGTGCAGCACACAAGACCAAAGAACTGATCACCAAACAGATCGAAAGACAGCGCCGCATTAAGCAGAAGGAGATGGAACTGGAGAAAGCACGTCTCATCGCATCACTTCTTCAAGAAACAGAGAATGAAAATGCAAAAGCCATTCCACAAGCCAGATGTGAACTTGACCCAGGGCAGGTACAGGCCGATATACTCTGTGCGCAGAAGGTAGAGGTTGCTCACCACACACCACATCAGTTATCTGATAATACACAGCACTCTACACCTTACCTACATCAGAGTAATCCTGTCACTATTCAGCCTACAATTTCACATTCTGTTCCTGAGTACATTACATCTCTCTCTACATCCAAACCATTACAAGCAGAACCTGTAACTATTGTTCCTTCTCCAATCTATCCTGTAGCATCGCTAAGCGTGTCCCCCCAACAGGTAAAATTGCCTACTGTAGATGTTTACCCGCCTACAACAGTGCAGCCATCTTTGTCTTTTGATAGACAAACCTATAGTCTAGGGCAGTCAGGTGCCAACCTTACATCTCGAGCTAAACCAAATATGTCTCAAGATTCAACAAGGACCAGCTATGCCCAGCAACCTACCCTTTTAGTCCCAGCGGACTCTCAACCTACAAAGACATGTGAAAGACAACAGTGAAGGGTACGAAGATGTTCAAAGGTCTGTAGAACAGGCATTCTACGTTGATAACTGTTTGCAGAGTCTTGACTCCACAGAGAAGGCCCGTAACCTCATCGACAAGATGCGCAGTCATTTGTTTTCTGGTGGGTTTGAAATACGCCAGTGGGCCAGTAATGTACCTGCTGTAGTAGAACACCTTCCAGTTGAAGCCAGAGCAGCCAGCACTGAACTGTGGCTTTCGGAACACTGTTCAGACCCGCAAGAGCCAGCTTTAGGTCTCCGTTGGAACTGACCACCTGACCACCTTGGATACCAACATCGCCAAGTTGACTACTCTGAACCCACCCTACGAAACGTGTACAAAGTACCAGTACGACCGTACGACCCACTTGGATATCTTATACCCTTCACAACAAAAGCGAAAATACTGATTCAAGATCTCTGGAAACTCAAGATTGGTTGGGATGACATTATCCACCCGGAAAGCCTGTTAGTACAATGGCAAGCCTGGGAGGCCGAACTGGCCAATTTGCACACTGTGGAGATACCCAGAGCATACATACCACCATGTGCTGACACAGAAGGCACACAGAGAACCATCCATATCTTCTGTGATGCCTCTGAACGGGCATATGGATCGGTCGCTTACCTTCGCACTCAAGATCAGCAAAACCAGATCCATGTAGCCTTTGTGATGGCAAGGTCCAGAGTGGCTCCCCGCAAACAGATATCAATTCCCCGTTTGGAGCTTTGTGCAGCTCTCACAGGAGCGCAGCTAGCAAAGTTGCTCAGTAAAGAGCTGTCTATTCCTGCGAGTGATATTATTCTATGGACCGATTCAACAACAGTCCTAAGCTGGCTGAGATCAGACTCATGTCGCTACAAAGTCTTTGTCGGGACACGCATCGCTGAAATCCAGGACAAGACTTTAGGGTCAAATTGGCAATATGTCAATACCACCGATAACCCAGCGGATGACCTGACTAGGGGGAAGACTTTGTTAGAGTTGAGCAAATCTAAGCGCTGGAGTCAAGGACCACTCTTCCTCCATCAACATCCCAATACCTGGTCATCCCTGCCTGAATTAGCATCTCCCGATGACCGTGATGAGCTGAAAAAACAATCATTCTGTGGAAATGCAACTCATTAAAGCTTTCTTGGATGTGACTCTCTGAGCCCTTTACTCTCTTACCGGAGTCGCCAGTTTTCAAAGGTCTATCAGAACAATCCAGAGGTTCCACCTACAACCACACAAGGTTAAAGCTCAAGTTATGGTGTTGAAAGGGCATAACATGTAAAAACATGACTAAAGGTCCTTCACATCATGAAAGATAACTATAAAGATAACTATATTAGTGTTCAAACAGATGATCACATTCTGTTAACTGTAAGCGCATGCTGCAGTTATGCTGTCTGCCGCTTTAAAGTCTTGAGTTTTTGAAAGTCTGGTGATTGGCAGTCAATGTTTTTATTCTTCACCAGCTGAAGAAAAAAAAAATCATTCCAATGATAATATTGTTCCTCTGTGTCATTATCACTGTGGAATGGACTCCACTCTTCTCATAAAATAAGAATAATTATAAAAACTTTATAGTTATCATGTTAAACCTGTTGTGAATGTTAGTTATTTTAATAGCAAAAGAGCTTCTAAACAGCAAATGATTTACTCAAATCATTTACTCTAAAATAATTTACTCAACTTTCATGATTTAAAAAAAAAATACAAACAAAAGTTTTTGCTACATGCCATGCGCAATATGTGATTTAAATAAATAATTGTATCATTTTCAGTTCCGAAATACTGTAGTAGGAAACTCTGTCTGGTCGTCCATTGTTTCCTCTTTAGGCTACTTCTGTAGAATTTTTCCCAAACTGAATGCGAATGATGTTGTAATATTGTGTGCCCACTTTGAAGTGAAGGCTTCCCAGATGCACTTGATGGCAGCCAGGGCCGTCCTTAGCTGATGCGGGGTCCCCCTCAGTCCGTTTCGTGATCGCGTTCCGGGGGGGTGGGATCCCTCGGTCCGTTCGCTGCTGGGCCCGGTGCGACCACACCCCCCTAAGGACGGCCCTGATGGCAGCTACTGTTGGTTTCTATTAGTTGACAGATTACTTTTTGCATTGCCATTTGTATTTTGCTCTTTGGCATAAAGTTAGACAGTCGTCAAGTTATAGATTATATAATCTGATAGTTATGTACGTACTGTATTTTAAAAGATATTGACCTCTTAAATAGTTTGTGTACAGTATAAAAATAAGATATAAAAAGTGAGTCCACCTGAATGTGTTGAGTTCAGCCATTTTTAGTATCTTTGAGTGTAGCTGAATACTTTTTCAAAACCATAGCTTTAACTGCTTCAAATTATGTCGCTTGGCTGGCTACAGCTTCAAAGTAGTTTCCCGAGACACCTGTTTTTTTTAGGGTTTTTTTCCATTTCCACGCTGTTTTCTTTTGTGTCTTTGCTCAATTGGATTTTCAGAGTTGATTTTCAGTCCCCTCGTGCCTTTTCTTTGAACCATCTTCTCCCAACGTCAGCCTGTCATGGCGGATCACCAGATCAGTGCGGCAGCAGTGGCTTGGCAGTCGTCTTACCGGGGTGAGAGGACCAGACAAACAACGGCGAGCAGACATGGCAGCTGACAGGCTGCACAAGATTCCTGCCGCTGACACACAAACAAACTGAGCGTTTCAAACACGAGACTAGCATAACATCACATGCCTTCTAGCGATAGAGTAATACATTCGTGCATATCATGACAAACAGCCGCTTAGACAGCCTGGACTGTTGTATATGTTGAAATAGATTGTATATATTATATAAATATGGCATAATATTATTAATTCATAGTGCTTTGTGGTTTTTAAGACCCTAGTTGTAGTTGTGACAGAGGTGGAGAAAAAACACAACCGACGCTCTGAGTCTTCAGTGTATCACATAATAAACATATCAGTGTTTCCCATTAAATGCCATCCTGTGTTAACTACCATTTATATTAACTCAATCAGTCTTCTTTGGTGAGTAAAGTAGCCTTCCCTAGACAATGTTTTCACATGCTGTAATGCTTGCGACATATGTAAGATGCTGTATACCTGAACCTGCACTGTCGGTTATATTTATATCTATTAAAATGAACTAATGAGACTAGTGACAAAAGCCTGGCACAAGTTGTTAGAGTTGTGCAAGTTAAAATAATGAATGTAAATTAAGGTATTAATCCAACAGTGCATCTGTAAGACTAAAACGGCAATGACTTTTACCCAGCACCATCTAAAAGTGAAGACAACCCCACCTCTGTACAGAGGTTTTCTTCAGAGCCGCTGCAAACCTTGGATACTTTTGCGTGTTTGAATGACAGAGAACATGGAAGTGATTTCAACCATTTTCAATCAATGTTTCATTATATTTATATTGTAAATTTAAAGGGATCGTTCACCCAAAAATGAAAGTTCTGTCATCCTTTTCTCACCCTTGAGTTGTTCCAAACCTGTAAGATTTTTCTTCTTCTGCTGAACACAAAAGAAGATATTTTGAAGAATGTTGGTAACCAAACAGTTTCTGGTCCCCATTGACAGAGATTTTTCTTTTTCCCAACAAATTCAAGAATTAAAGAGTTAGTTCCAGATTATTCTGCTGCTATTCACTGGCATTTAGCAAAATAGTCTGTTCATGTGTGTCACCTATAGTTGTAGTTTTTTGTAACAGCAGTGGCTCTGTGACATGTGACCAAAAGCGTGAATCTTACTGGTTGGCCAGTTTTCTTCGTAGTGCAATAGAGAATGGGAATCTTTGTCATTGCGCAGTGCATTATGGGTAGTTAATAAGTAGCGTACAATGACAACTGTCACGAATCCGGTCTATGGACTTCTGTTTGTTCACCACCAGAGGTCACTATCCACCACATGGACTCTCATACTACACAGACTGTTACATGTCACCACGGACTACATATGTTTCACTTCACTGATTACATTCACACCTGCCACCAATCACACAGACTATATAACACCCATTCACATGCTCTTCCGGGCCGAGTATCATTAGCATTTATCTGTGCTTAGCGATAGCTACTGTATATGGAGCCATTCCCGGTATTCTAGTCCTGTCAAGTTTTGCCTGTTTAGTCTAGTCGTGTTTTTGGATATCTTGCCTGTCTTTGGATTTTTCTCTTGTCTTGCTCTGTTTGGACTCTGTTTGACCCTCGCCTGAACTGTTACCTGTGTTTCGGATTACCCCTTTGGATTACCGTTTTTGGACATTGTTCGCCAGAGATCGACCACGCCTGTTTACTGGAC